AACCAACCTGGCAAAATTTTTAACGAAAAGTCATCGGGTACGAAATAACTCGCCCCAGAGGCGGTTGGGACCATGTGAAAAATTGCTCGTAATTTGCAATTACAGGCTCGAGTGGATGAGAGGTTTAGATTGAGATTCTGAAGAAAATGGTTACGGGAGTGCCATCACACTTGGTATTACAGTGCCATGCCATCATTGCATTGACATGCTTCGGTTTATGGGCAGCCCCGCAACGGTCGCCAAGGGTGCTGGGATCGGGGAGGGGATAAGCATTTCCATGGCAGCTTTATCTGGGTTGGACGAAAAAAGTGACACAGCGTCACGCCGATGCAGTGTCACGGATAATTTCCCCTTCGTTGAAGGAAGATGTGAGTGTAGATCAGGGATCAGCCAGATTGAATGAATAACAGTTCAACGAGGCGTTTGGGCAACTGCGGCCGAATTTTGAAGCTTTGGAAGATGGGGAACAAAGAAAGAATAAAATGAAAGCAGTAGCTTGTGGCGATTGTCAGGGGGCATAAGGTACAACGGAGTCAATAGAAAAAATCTAAAAGGGGATGGAAGCAAGCTAAAATGACCCAGAAAAGCTGGAAACCGAGTACTAGATGTGTCAGAGTAGGTGCCTAGTTTTGGGAAGGTAAGGACTTTGTCGTTGAGGTACTTGCAAAGAGGCTAGCTGTTGGACTAGTCAAAACGTGCGGTGGTTTGTAGCTTACCAAAGAATCCCGACATAGAAGAAGGGCCTAACGTAAGCAGTAACAGTAGGCAAGTAAAAAGCGGACAGGCAATGGCTTCCCAGATAACGGTTGAGAATCCTAGCCTAACTTAACAGGAAAGTAAGATTAAGGACCACCAGTCGCCGAGCCACTACTGCCAACTCCAGAAAACGAATGGTGCATAGCCAAAATAGCCATTAAGCGCTAGTTGTGACTGCTTGTAATCAGGAAATAAAGGATTGTTTGCACTTTGTGCATAAGATTGCTCTAGATGACAAGAGGGAACAACGTGTGTGCTACGTTTGGATGATGAAGTGGTCATGGGGTGGTGTGAACTAACTGAGACGTAGGTAGTAATTCTTTGCACGTCGACGTTAGCCGTAAGCCTCACACAGTACCTTGAGGCTACCCCATGCATACATATATTTTAAAACAAACAAATATACAGCCATCATTCGCTTGTATTTCTTGGTTTTGCGAGACGAGTGACAACCATAACAAGTCCGATTCCAGCTACAGACGAACCTCAGCGGTGCACTTTTTTGGTTTTCCTGGATTAAAGGCCAGGCATGGAACCACAAACGATGGGTGATACACCCGTGCTTCTGGAGGATAGCGAGTATATGAACGTAGCGTGGTTCAACGTAACAGTGCGACCCCTCCTGCGGGTCGTACCCGTTCGCCACACAAGGTTTTTATTCCTCGTGCATGCTACCAGATCTGCAGGGTGACAAGCCATCAAGCGGTCATAACTGAAGTTTGTGCATTAATAAATAACTCCAGCTACCAGGTATTTTATCCGGTCGGGAAGGAAGCCAAGCAAGCAAAACAGCTCAGTCATTTCGAACAAGCAAACAGCAAACAGCCGCTGGAAGAGGTAAGTCGAGGAGGCAAATGATGCGTCAACTACCTTTCGGGCAATGGGAGTTGAATATAGATGTTTAGAGCCTTTGTACCATGGCTAAACGAACCGCCTCGTTTAGTAGAGGCGCACCAGTGTTATATATATGTGAATGAGTAGGCTATAGCGCCAAAAAGTATCTCACTCACAGCGCATCTTCTGACCCACCACTTGATATGCATGCACTGCGCGTGCTCCGGAGATGCAGAATGGTTCAGAACAGCAAGGAACTAAGGCTTTGTTTTTGCTTAGGTAAGTTAAATCAAGACAAAGCAAAGCACCAGACATTAAATAGAGTTGATAGAGTTATTCAGGGATGGGGCCAGGTTTGGAGAACTAGGAATCATTTGGCTGGAAACAAAAGCTTAATGTCGTAGAAAGGAAATACAACCAGGCCAGTGGGGCAGGCTTAAAAGCAATTAGGATGGCAGGTGCTAGACGCTCTCTGTAACACAACTACGCTTCAGAGAGCCACAGGAAGTGAACGTCTGCATAAGAGATAGATAAAGTGGTAAGTTATAGACAAGAACACTTGGGAGGGTGGTTATCGCACTTGTGGGTAAACGCTGGAGGGTTCAGACCGGCGAGTGTGAGTGCTAGGACCTAGTAAAAAGACAGTCGGGGTGAGTGCGCAGATTAATGAGCTTAGGGCCTATTTCAAAGAAGTGTGCAAGTTGAGGCGCGAAAAGGCGCTCAGCTTCCTCAATAGAAAGATGAGAACCGATGGCTTTCCGAAAGCTTACATGAGATGGGACAGCACGGATATGGAAGGGGAGCTTTATCCATGGTTTGGAATACAGGTAAAGGGGAACGTTTTGTCTAAAGACAGTTTAGCAGGGGAAAATGGTGCGAGTGTGAGTGCTAGGACCTAGTAAAAAGACAGTCGGGGTGAGTGCGCAGATTAATGAGCTTAGGGCCTATTTCAAAGAAGTGTGCAAGTTGAGGCGCGAAAAGACGCTCAGCTTCCTCAATAGAAAGATGAGAACCGATGGCTTTCCGAAAGCTTACATGAGATGGGACAGCACGGATATGGAAGGGGAGCTTTATCCATGGTTTGGAATACAGGTAAAGGGGAACGTTTTGTCTAAAGACAGTTCAGCAGTTGGAAAATGGTAGTTAAAAATCCAGAGACGTCTGCTGCACTCCCAGAAACCGAATACACGATCCAGGTACAACAGATGGGCTGGCGGTATGCTTGTTCACCAGGCAATGCAGGTGGGTACCGTTTTCACATATCTCCAACATCATGAGTGATGCGTTGCTTGCTTGTAGCGAATAATCATTTTTGTGGCTGTGCAACGCTGAACGATCCGTGTCCGAAACTGATGTGGCCAAATCCACGCTAAAAATGTGTGCTCTATTTGGCAGAGATAACATCAAAGTCAAAGCTACCTGTGTATGAGAAATCCGTTTTCCTTTGTTGTACTAAGACGTCGTTTGTAAGATTTCAGCAAATTGCGAGGTTCAAATATTCAAACACCGATGTTACTGCAGAAGAGATTTGCTGATTGAATGTGTACTTGATTAGAGCAGAAGGTTAAGCTTACCAGCCTGGGCTAGCGGTCATAGAGGCCAGAGTTTGATGCTATTGTGCTCTAACGGTGGGGCCTGGCTGCGCATACCAGTGTCGAATTAGTGCAGTATCATCAGTTTCTCTCACGCATTTGAGTGGTTCTTGCAGGTCATGATATCGTGTATCGTCACCCGGGTAAATTTGGCAACTAAAGGACAGATTCGCCTTTCAATCCTTCTAGGTGTGATGGATGCGGCTTCCAAACTTACTCCGGTTGGTAACATTTGGGGAGCTATTGCAGTTGATCGTAAGCCGGTCTGCGCAGTGCGAGTGTGACTCAGTTTGTGGGACGCGTGGTCTCTGAATTCGAAAAACAGGCGCACAAAAGAGTTCACGCGGGTTGATGGAAGGTGAATGTGCGAGCAGCAGCCTTGGTTGACTTAACTTCCAAAAAGGCTGTTGCAACTGTGAAGCATTTTATCATTTGTGTTCTGGGGTACATAAAAATAAACAATGACTGGGAAGATTCAACCAGGGCATAAACAAAACCATCTCTTTAAGTTTTTCGTCTTTCATATCATGTGCCCTTGTTCTATCCCAGAAGTATTAATAAGATGTCGATGCAGGGGGTTTGCAAAGGCTTGCCGTAGAAGATGCTACTACAGGTTTTGGAAAACGAATGTCCCACATACCATGACCCTGTGACAGGAAAGCAGAGGGCTCATAACCCTTCTCGGAAATCCTTGCTCCCTGACACGTCAAAATGGAAGTACATTCTAAATGGGACAACCACGCGGACCAGTGGGATACGGTTTCTCCTCAGTTCTGTGGGCACAATCGTTCCGTAGAAGACATATGCGGTACGCTGCCGTGCATACTAGCGCGTGCTTCGATTTTCAGCATTACCTGCTTCAACCGCACTGTAGAGAGTCTTTTCGTCGAAAAGGGTCTCCAACGAGACCTTATGTCCCGGTGACACTACGCTGTCTTTGTTCTACCTCTGCGGATTTTTTCGGCCAACTCAAAATACCGCTACTTACAGAATTGCGATTCCATTGTCTAATCCTTTTATATGGGGCCGCCCAGAAAATGAAGCATATCAGTATGTTGATGGCATGGCACCGCAATACCCAGTCTGACGACAAATCCGCAACTATTCCCTTCCTACTCCTGATTTTGTTCCCTTGCTCGCTCGTTCCTTTACCCGTAGCCAGGAACAAACTCTTTACCTGATCCCATCCGCCTCTGCGACGAGTTCGTTGTAACTTGACAAATCTTTCGTTTGGATCCGGTGGACCTTTATTTTGTGATACCCAAAAAGTCAATCATTTTGTACACAGTTAGCATTCTGCTCTGTGTGTTAGCACCAGCTGACTTTCCCAGGAGGATTTTACACTCAACTCTTCCCCAAAAGCGATGCCAGTGAGTCTTAACTATTTCACTATCCACCATGATCCAAAGACTTTAGCTTCCATTTGCCGTACCGATAATTCCTCCGCCTCATCTCCCGCACTTACACTTTTTATGACCCTGGCTGTAGGCTCAACTGTCAAAGGCCGCTGAGGCTCAGCAATGTTTTCAGTTGCAGTTTAGGTTGTTCGCCCAAATAACCGCAGCACTGCTTCTTCACCCGATCCGTTGTTTTGGTTTCCCATAACCGAAAATTTACGATTCTCTTATCACCTGCCACGTACGACGCCACTAGCTTTACCTTCCTTTGCTGTACTTTGCCCACGTTTTTGAATTTCGACGTTCTTATTTTGAATTAGCTTGATATGTTCCCAGAAAGATAGGAAAACTCTGTTCACTGCGACTTCCAGCCTTCGATGTTCACCGCAGTTAGATCAAGCTGTTTAGGCATGACCACTTCTGGGTCGGGTGGTGCCCACTATTTGTGTGACTTCCCCCTTCCATATATTCCTCAGTACCCGCAAGTTTCAGCAGTCCTTCTTTTATTCTGACGGTATGCCACACGTCAGCCGCGAATAAAAATCATTGCTACCGTTGCAACTGATACATTTACCTTTTTGCGCTTTGATTTGCTCATTTCATACTTGTACAGGTTCTCAGTGCAGAAGATAACTGCTCTTGCTGAGCGCACAAAGTATCTGATGGCCTCTCCCAAATGCTGTCAGAATGACGCCCTGCTAAAATATCCAACTACTTTACGCTCACATGTTATCCTGGGCAAGTGTGTTAGACTGCTCTGCCACACCTGCGTATAAAATATTTATGGGGGCTTCGGCAAACCTGGTTCAAGTCAAATGTGGATATATTTCACTTGCAACATCAACGGGAAGTTTCCAGGACGAAAATTGGATCTTTAGGAAGCGGAGGACAAATTCCATCATCCGATGCAACGGCTAAATCCGAGTCATCCGACAGTGTGCCGTCGAAATCTTCCCACATGTCTGCGGATGTTTCAAGAATGAAATTTGTGACGGACGTTATAGTAGCAAGCAGAAAATTCCGATTGGTCTTCAAAATGATTTAGAATGAGCCTTTTATTTACAAAGAAATGAAAGGCTTTCTTAAGTAAAGAAACGTTTTTTCGATAATTATGTTTGTGGACAGCCTTCTGGTGCCAAAGTATCAATGACAAGAATAAGCAAAACCGGCGGCTCTTGGAAGAGCTGTAATGCACAGTCACTATTGCCCCCACGGTAGTCACCTTTGGTATATCTGGAAGTCGTTTATCCCTTGGGCACAAAAAAGATGGCTGCTGTGTCAGCTCGACGTGAGGGGCTCTGCAATTCGAACAAAAGTAGGCTTGCCAAAAGTGCAAAATTTCCCACACGGGCTTTACGCGTATTAGGCACCCGGGTGCAGACGTGCGCTATCTGGGTTCCCAAACAAAAATGCTATGGATGACCTGTCTCGCGTAATGTTTGTCCTTACTAAAAACGCTCGAGATAATGGCCTCCGCGCTTTCTCCACTGTCTTGTATTTGCGACCACCTGCTGCAACCACCGTATAGCCGTTTGCCAAACAGAATCCGCCACACGCGCTAACAGTATATAACCAAGCTTCATAAAACTGCCTACTAACTTTCGGAAGGCCAAGGATGAAATCCGGGTAGCGGCCGATTTCTCATAAAGAATACCGACTCGAGCGGAGCCAACAAACTTTTCAGTCATGCTGGTGGATTCGCCGCTTCAGAACTGCCATGTGCACCCAAAGATTACAAATAAACTTTGATTTAAAAGAATGACGAAAAACTATCATCATATGCCATCCATTATATCCATGGAACTGCTTCATTTTAATGCAGAATCTATCCTTTCATGAAAAACAATTTCCAAGGTCATCTTCTGTTTTCCGATACCGATACATTGTATTCTGATAGAAAAAAACATTTTTCCGCATCATAATTTGAAAATATCCTACATAAAACATCAATAACATCCTCACCAAGGAAACCCGTCATTGGACACGGATTGTCAAACTCGGTGCTCCCATTGGTAAACTGACCATTCCGTTGTCATCGGTATCCTGTTACGGCTGGAAGGCGCTGTTTACAACTCAGATACAAGTGAAACCCCAGAAGTGACTAGCGAGTTCAAGTAACCCCCACCCCTCATGGAGGTGGTGACTCCATCTGATTCACCGTTCTTTCCGACATATATCGCAACCCACCATCACATCGACACTCGGGTATAAACCACCTGAATATATCCAAATAACATACACGGTCGAAACGCCATCACCACTGTTTGTGGACTCTAAGCGTTCGACGTACCCTGACAACAAAACATCCACTCCCTCACTGATACCGAGGAAACTCCTTGGCGTCACATTCAAACTTGTTCTACCATATCGGCCTTTTAGGCAACTGCACGACCCTAATCATCCACCACACCTTGCCCTTTCGCAAATTCTGGCCTTGACGACGAAATAGACTTCACGTTACCTTCCTAAACCAATTTTTACAATCTGGATTGGGTTTAGAGGTAATTTCTCCTCCGTTCTTTCTCTACCCATAGTGTGTTGTACATATAAGTCGACCCTGACTAATTGACCAGTTTTCCCCTACTTGATTTCATACCAGTTCTTCCGAAATATTTCCACTGTGCCAAGCTCAATGTTGAGCGATGCTCACAAATTTCAGAAGGGATCAAAACTATGACGATAAACAGGTGATATCCGTACTGCTATCTTATTCCTGATAAGAAAAATCAGCGGTGCGTATCACACGAAACTCCTGAGAATCCCAGTGTCAACACATCCAAAGTTAACAAGATGTGCTCAGTACTGAACCTCTCAATAATATCAGCAATATACACAGAAAACCGGAAAAACCAGATTTAGCCGAGAGCCCTTGCCACTGGCTTAAGCTGTTCCAGTTTGTCTCATATATCCCGCAAATTCCTGTTGTGCACCCAAACATGACAGAACGAACACGACAGCATGACAGAAACTTGTCTCGTTTGCGAGTTGAGAGACTCACTGAAAGAACGTGGCTTGTCGTCCCTGACGCACTCTATCCGGAAAAGTATATACATCCTGCCCAGGTTGTAGTCGAGCAATATAGAGTTGGAGCAACTTTCTCCGCAGCATTCAGTATCAGACAACTATCCATATACATGATCGGTATGCTAATATACGCCATTTTTTGCTTGGTAACCTGTGTTACTCTGCAGCTCCTTCGTCCTTTCTCTGAATGAGCGCCAGTTAACATTTCGAAAAATCCCCCTGATTCCACGAGATGGCTACCGAGGCAATTATGCTTGAATGAAGACTCTGGGTACCGTTCAACCATACTGCTGCATCTCTAAAGAGCCTCATGAATTAATGCACAACTAGCTGTAGCCTTATTGGCACGCCATTTGGCCACCGCATGCTTTCATTTTCACATGTGACCACAACCGTTCACGTTGACCGCATATCTCCATTCCGTGGTAATTCCGCCTGGACGTTATGTATCGCCCCTGAAATCGGGTAGCACCGGCTAGCTAAGGTGGTTACAACTTCTAGGTCAATCACCGCTGCCTGTTATTTTATGTGGCATTGTGCCCCATAGACCGACGCTTTCCGGCAAACCTTTCTAATACATTTTACCATTACGAGTCCCTATCCTGGGTACAGATTTTTCATTTCCTCGTCCAGATTGTGGCGATAAACCCTAATGCGCCCTCTATGGATAATTGATTATCCATGACTGCCAGTGGTCCGACTTTGTCACGATTCCTGGCCAACACTAACGACCAACCCAAGGCTCATATACGGCTCTGTCAACGAAGCTGAGTGCGTCATTGCGATGGTAGTAGCTTAACTGCCACACCTAGACTGATGTTTGCCCATATTTCCTTATATCTACACTATTGTTCGACCAAGCCTGCCAAATGCGCCGACGATACTGTCTCAACGCGCAGTGTTTTTGCCTTAGCTCCAAAAAAACTTTTAACCCTATGTGCTGTCTGTGCCTTAGCTCCAAAAAAACTTGTAACCCTACTGTGCTGTCTGCTGATTATGTCTGCTTACCCGATTATCCCCTCCGTATAAGCATCAAGGGCTGGTTATGCTGGTGAAGGCAGAACTTCAAGAGGCACACGGTTTGGCGGGTGGCGTCTGTCATAAAGCCACCAAAATTAGTGGCCGCGGCGAATTCCATGGCATTGGCACTGTCCGGAAGTATTTCCGAAGCAAAGATAAAAAAGTTTCTTCATATGAAATCGGCGAATGACTACTTCATTCTGCGATAGCTCGATGGAATTCAACGTAATCATTGGTCATGCACTCTTTCAATACTTTTTCAAATAGGTACAGAAATCAAGTCCACCACAACGTCTGCAGTTTTTACAAGCAGACCACTTTGAGCCATGGCCACCGGGCATGCTCACGGTGGAGCTCGAGTATGCTTAAAAAATTACAGCAAAAATGTGACTGTCTTGAGAGGTTTTATTGTTTTTGAATAATGCCATCAAATGCTATATATAAGTTCCCCTGGTTCAGACTATAAATTTGAGTGTGAGCCAGACGATCGGCGCTGTAACTTCAGTGGTCCAGGTTGGACGAGATAAAAGTTTCAGTTTTACTGGGCCATCTGAGCATTAAGCGTGTTCTAGAATGAAGATGCATTATGTCCAGTGAGCTATTATTGTTATTTACTGAGAGAAAAATTTAAGTTATTTATTCGATATAGACTGGAAGCAATACTTACGGTATAAAGCAGTGATAGTCTCCAAATACAGTGCTTACGCGGCTTTACCTTCAAGGGCTGATTCGTATTGCGTTATCACGTGTAGCCAATACCCACTGGTTATTAGGTATCAAGAAATGCGAAATATACCTGAAGTGCAGGACGCCTCAGTAGCGGAAGAACTAAGTAGAAGCATCAAATGTAATCCCCATCGTCTCTCTCTTCAAATAGTCGCTCTGCGGAACCGGCACAGGTATGCGAACTTACCTTAGGGACAAGATTGACGATGACCCCCACACACCACACAAGGTTCACCATCACAACAATCGACGGAGTACAAAATATTGGGTAGGTCAGATTCCTGAAAGCAACCTCTCAACGCCCGGAACATGGTGATACCATAAATCTCCACAAAAATCCCAATAAGAAAGCCGGCAAACATCCAGGCCAGTCAATCTTTCAATCAACTTTCTAAAAGCCGATGAGTGTTCAGACACGCCACAGAGGCGTGAACGAATGTGATCAGCATCCGTGCATTTCATGGAAGCATGGTTGATGTTGATGGGCGTTCACTAAACGCCTGAATCGATATCAGAAAGTGCCCGATAAATAGGGCGGTGTCGTTAAATCTTTGCAGTCTCGCTCACTCACGCGCTTGTTCGGAATATATTTGTTATTTCCCCAAGTCTTTTTCCTGGCACTAGGCACTAGGCCGGGGTCAACAGCAGATAAAACACATCGGTAAATCGGCAGATATAACACAAAATTTATTCCTCTAATCACCATCACGTCACTGGGACTAGACAACAAATCTTCAGTAGCCAAATTCTGTGCCCCTAGACCGCCGTATATGTTCAGGCGAGCATCCTCAACCACCGACGGTAGGTCCATCACCGACGTAGGCCTCGACGCAGAAGTAGCTACCCCTGAATGATTCACGGCTTATTGACGTCGACTTCACGAATTGTAGCATCTGATGTTTAGCCACCACCCGATTGATTTGTTTGCGTAAGACACGGAAATTGTAAGATCCGGACGGCCAAGGATCTCACAGGACGATTGCGACTATTAGATTATACGCAGTTCGTAGCCAGTAGTCAATAGGAGCAGACAGACGTGGGGCAGTAGATGATATATTGAAGACCGACAGGAACTGGTTCTACAGAAAAACGAATTAGTAAGCATCATGAATTAAGAAAACGTACAATCAACAATGACGCAATCTGTAGGAGCGGGAAGCAGTCACTGTCACAGCACGGATTTCTGTAGGGGCAACAAGAAGTAAGTACCAAACGATGTGCAAACATACATATCGGGGCAGTCTGACAGTATGAGTTGGCCGTAACGGCGCAGGAGTCAGCACGTTCGGAATTTGAGGGACTGTCTTTCGGTCGGTGTCGACGCAGCCGCTCGTGTCGCGCGACAGGTCAGATTGCGCGGTTTCGGCCGTTTAAAACAAAGCTCAGCAGGGGCTATCTGGCAGGCGTGATGCATGGATAATACAAAATAAACAGCTGTGTTGGACGTCCGGTTGGTGTAGCCGGTAACGTGTTCGCCTGCTGTCTGCAGACTCTGGGTTCGATACCCGGTGGGCGCGCTTTTCGGTCGGAGTGGACGCTCGTGAATAGGTGCAACCCAGACGAACTTGCAAGCAATGACGGACGGGTAAATTAAGTATTGACATCAGTTACTGAGGCATAAACAGACCCTAAGCCGGGACGAAACAGGGAGAAAACGAGCAAAGAAACGAAACGGCGTCATAATAAACAGATGCGAGTCACGTTATTCATGAGTAGTCAAAAAACAAGGAAAGTTACCGCTGGTCACCGTTGATTCGCAGGCGGAATCAACAGAAATGTTACCGCGGTTGCCTGGGACAACCATTCTCCGATGATTTTTATCACCAAACCATTTTTGGTGGACAGGGAAGTGAACTAAAAAAGACCTGTGATCAATACTCCTTACTGCTGGAAGTGGACTAATCCGTTACTAACGAAAACAGGTGTAGGCAAGGTGGTCACGTTGCCTCGTGGAATGTGCAGTTGTATTTACCAGCACAGGTGTCAAACGGCTGGTAGCACTTAGGGGTCTGCAACAGGAATTTTCAGATATTTAACGTAAAATTGCTTCACCCAGTTATTTATGAGACAATAATTTTGCTCACCGTTCTAAGGGCCTCTGGGAAGAATGCGTTTGTGCATTCGACAGGCCACGTTTAGAACACAGCCGTCACCATATCTGATTTCCGTTCATTTACGACGATACGCCATATGCACTATGCATTCCCGTATGAACCAGTGGGCTAGCCAAGACACATTCTGTATAGAATGATCTAGATTGTATGAACAGCGCACCTTCTTTTTCAGACGGCATTTGGCGTCCTCCACACGAATGATGGTCACATCGCAAAACTGGAACATCTCGGAGTGGTCGCTCACCGTGCACTTGCGAGTGATAAATAGCCAGTGAGTTTTGATGTAAGAGACGAATATAGAGTGTGCGCAACGCGGAACCTTTAGTTCTTGGCGAGGTCCGTACATTATGATAAACAAAAACCTACCCCAGAGCACTGTCTTGACGATCAGTATGGCGGAATGCATGTTGGTTTTTCGCCGAGATTATGACCAAAATGCATGGATGTTATATGATACGTATGTATTTCCTGATTTCTTTAATAAAATGAAATTGGCGCCCGTACGGACTTAGCCCAGCCTAGACGGAAGCCATACCTGCCACAAAAAACCCAACTCCCCGTCTCTTGCCCAACAGGATTCGCGGACATCTCCGGTGGCAGATCTGTGTCCTGGGTGGTAAGGACCTTGCCAGATAAATCTTGTAGCGGACTTAGTACCTTATTAGCGTGTTCGATCAGATGATCGAGCGAATTAACAAATATAAATAACAAAATAATAGTAAGAAAAGAGTAGGCAATCGCTAAGGGCTCACGAATGCGTAGATCCTGCACGGTACGTTCGAAATCGGTTTCGTTTTTCCCTCGTGCAAATTTGTGAAAGAACTTTTTCGTTTTTCAATCTACTCACAGAGTACACACGAGTAATTGTTGAATTTTATTACTCTTACAAAACATTTGGGAGATAACCCTTGATATTTTGCGCACACTTCCTATTTTACATCTAATCCTAAATATGACATCAATTTACACCGATTGCCCGCTGCAGCCATTGATAGACCACAACAGATGTGGACGAAATGGCTGCCCGTCGAGCGTCAAACGCGGTATGCAATGCCAAACCTGCAAGGCCTGGTGGTACTTTAAATGCACGGGTTTACAGGACGACCAGATAAACCGACTAGCTAACTCTCCTGACCCGTTTGTCTGCGCCAGCTGCCTCTACGTTAAGGGTGCAATGCATAACGCGGCCAAGAGGAGAGCCCCAGAAAACGGTACCCAATCCCCACTGCAGATTCAGAAAGGCCGGTGTGAGTGTTCCGCTTCGATCGGGATGCTAGACGCGAAACTGGAGCGTCTTTCTAAGGCACTGGAGGATTCAGACACTAAGAATGCAGCGACTTGGACGAAAGTTGACAAGGAATTTTCTTCCCTGAACGAGTACCTCGCGATATCCATACCGGGTCCTCCGGATGCGAAGAAAGTCATACAACTCTCTGATGCGGCTATAAAGACCGCCACAGCATCTCATGTGAACAGACGCCTAAGGGAAAACAGACTGATAATCTGGGGGTCATTCTCCGGAAAAATCACGCCAGCTAAGCTGACACAATCGATCCTTAGCGACGTCCTCACCAAGCCTGATAAATCGCTCCACGCAGAATGGCTACACCAGAAGGAAAGTAAGCGAACGCTTGGACTTCTAGTCACTCTTTCTTCCACATCTGACGTACGGGAGATCTTGAAGCGGGCTGGCAGCATTCAAAAGGACAACCCAATGATCAGGCGCTTATCTGATGATCGTCCTCTAGATGCGCAAAAGCTTGGTCATAGCAGGTCAGGGGTGGAAGCACGAAACAGGCTTCCGCCGGGCACAAACTCAGCCGAACCCAAACTCATGACCAAGCCGAATGTAATCATATCACCCTGTGCTCCCGAAAGCGGGCCGACGAAACCAGCTGCGTCTCCGGACAGCAGTTTTTATTCGACCACCAAAGGCCTCTCGCCCACCAAAGGCAGGGATGCCCTGGAGGAGGCAAACCCCACATGCAGGCAGCGCCTAAACTACGTGGAGCTATCAGCGCTTATCCCCCTATCAGAGGACACAGCCGCAGCCGTGCACTCCTCAACAAAGTCATAGCCTCTGAGCTGGACTGAGTCAGATGTGCGGGGACAACCGGCGAAACCAATCTCCAGCTCCACTACATCAAAAGCGGCCTCTCTGCTTGTGGACACAACCGTCGCCTAGGACCCCGACAACCTAAGCCATAAACATGACTACAGCCATCCGGAAAATCCCTCGCACATCCAGTTGGCCACGCTGATCGCTGGCGGATCGGGTGTCTACACAAACACGAAAGAAGAGCGACTGCAGCCAAACAAGCTACATAAAGTTCGCCAGATTAGAAAACTACTGGCTGGCTTCAAGGTGCAGCCCTCCACGAAAACGAGCCTCTTGGGAGCGCCACCAAAATCATTATTTCTTGGTGCCGCCACCCAGCGCTCAGGGCCTCACAGGGACACTTTTCCGGCCAAACTGCGCCAAAACACCCAAGAATCTAGGAAGGCGTGAGCTTGCAGCAAATCTTTGAT